GCTTCTATAGGCTTCACCCTGTTAGGCAATAAACCCTTCAGTTTTGAAAAGTTCATGAAGGGAGAGATCTACATCATTTAGTTTGTGCATATGCAATGTAAATATGCTTCCGTCAGTTTAAGTGAATAAATACTAACCCATTCATGCAGTTATTTTCGAGAAATAAGTCCACATATTGCATTTTCGGCGCATTTCTGAGCAAAACGCGATTAACGCTACAGTTGGTATGTTCATAGCAACTGCAATTGAGACAATGGTCTAAATTTCTCTTCATCACTTGTGCTTTTCGTAGTTATTACAGAATGTGATGTCATTACATCATGAGCCCTTGTTTTTGGCAGCATTTGACCATCTTGCGGATATTTCCGCTATCTCCACCTTGGAGCATCTACGGTGGCCTGAGGATGATCAAATCACCGCCAGTTTTTCAATGCCTCATGTTTTTACGAAGCACTTTTCGTTTAACACCTCGTGAAACCGCCTCACCAAGTGAAAGTACTGCAGGGCTACGCATATTGATTATGCTGCGTAGAAAAGCGCTTCTTATCTCAAACCTATGCAAATCCCTAATGATTCGATACCTGCGTGCGACCGAACTAATGAGCGGTATCATTACTTTTCGTTCGTAAATTTAGTACGTTCGTTAAGTTCTTTAATATGTCCCACTTGTGGACTGTTGATCACCAATTACCGCATGGCTGATTCCCGACAAACCGCAGTGCACAACGCCCCCTGAGTATTTCATGCCGCAGACCATGGCTGTCCCATGGTGTTGACACCGTCGTGCAGCCTGAAGTATGGTCTTCGGGTTTTTTTTACCGCATACGTCTACGCTCCTCAACTTCAGCCATCCTTCTGCTCGTGTAGTCTCCTTGATACTCCTGGAAGTATTGGAGTGCATGCGACCGGATGGGATGGAAAACTGTTCTATTTTGGAAAGTGTAAGTATAAAAGACATGTTTGTAGCATTTTTTCGGGTGAACTTGAACCGGCCTTAAACTGTGTAATTTTTGTCATTGCCCATTTGTTTAAATTCATATCTTGCAGAGTCTTTCATTTATGTGCCGATTTTACCACAACATCACAAGTAAATTTTACGCCACTCCGTCTGTTCTACGGTATTATTTGAGAAATATACGTAATTTATTTATCTACATTCACACAGTGCCGCTAAACTATGAGGGACCTTGTAGTTTTTGACACAATCACTCCCTGACCATTACTGCCAGTCGATGTCTTCTTAACCCATTTTGTGGTGTCGCATTGTTCCCTCCTTAACTTCTCTCAAGAAGAATGAAATCAATCTACGCAAAAAGTGGAAATTTTATTTTAAAAACAGTCAAGCCTCTCGTTATGGAAGAGACTGTATATCTACTTTTCAGCAAACACTGAACGAAAAGGTAATGAAATTGCTGGCCTTGACGAAGCCAGAAATATAGACAGCTTTGGGCTGCCGATTAAATCAAAAAACTCGGGTGTGCCCTTTAAATTCTGAATATTCTTCTCGATAAATTGGTCTGTCATTCTCCCCCAAATACCAAAATGTCAATAGGAGATATGTTTAAACGAAGTGCTGCATTTGCTTTCTTTTCTTGCACAATCTGTAATACATTAGTTTAAGGTTTCGTTTCCAAACCGAAGATATTTCAACGGAGATTTTGCCCAGAAGTACAAGAATCCCCATCCTATTTTAAAACATGCTGAAAAAGAAGAGCAAACTGCCGTCCCAATAGAACAAACATAGTGCGGTTACCCTTAAAATTATGGCGATAACTACACGATCACAATATTATATAATTTTATAAGAAAAATAATGAGAATAATCGCAATGCCGAGCATAGGACCTATCCTGAATGATGACCATACATTTTGACCGTTGGGATTTTATCCTTAGTAAAAGGCAGACGCCAAATATGACATTTTACATGAAATTCCCAATGAACGTCGTGGCGAAGTAATCCGAGTCCCATGATTGGTTGAAATTTCAAAAGCGGTATTTCGGCTGGTATTGTGAAGCAGATTTGAATTCTTAAATGACTTTAATTGATGTCTGTTACTAATGCCTTTCAGGCAGTGACGGGAAAAGGATGCGAGCAAAAAATGCGAATTTACTTTTAAGAGTTTTAAAACCTTTTTATCACAGTGCACACAAACAACTTACATGCCTGATTTTTCACCTTGTAAAATATTAAGCATAATTCATAAGTTATTGCCGCGCTTTCTTGAAGTTCTCATCTGAATTTATAATTACGAGTGCGTCGAAAAAAACAAAGTATAAGTTTAACTGTAGAATTCCGAATTTTCGATTCTCGGTCTCATGACACTCGCAAAGGTCATCCTTATAAAGATTTATTTTTAAGTTACGAGTTCCTGATATACATCTGAGCAGAACATACAGGTCTGTTAAGCAGATATCCGGACGACAGTTATGATTATCGAAGCATGGAAGATTTTACCAAATATTGTCTGCAAATTTTTACTATAGCTTTTTGTGCTGACAGAGCAAACATGAAACCTAACTATTGTCAAAGGACTGCATTAGAGCGCCATACGACTGATTTTATCTAAAAAACCTTGGACCATCTAGCAACTGTCTTAATTGTTTTAGAATGGAAAGTGCTCCGTACCTCACTGCAGACGCCAGTTTATTGCTTTATTTTGCTTAATATATCTAGTCACGTAATGTTGTGCAAGTTTTGGGTATGTGCTCTCTCATACTATCAATTACGCAAAGGGCTTTTAAAGTTTTTTTTTTACTTTTTGTCGTGAGTCCAGTCTACAGTGCATAATAACGTATGTTTAGGCCTCAGGACTAGAAGAGAGTTTATGTAATAATATCTGCACATATGTCGCCCATCTTGGTCGCGTGGAATTTCTTAAAGTTGAAAGTAAATAGAACACTTAGACCAAGAGAGTTCGATTTTTGGCGTGCAGTTTTACGCACAAAGTTCGCAAAAATACCAGTTATTTATAAAGACATATTAGCTACGTGAAGGAAGAACAAATAATTTATTAAAAACGGGAGAAGGCCTGATTGAAGGTTAGATTTTAAAATAAAATTTAAGGTCGAACAATTGCCTTCTACATTGACCAGATGCTTTTGACCTGTTGGCCAGAAGCCGAATGAAATTCAGAAATCGCAATGCCAGTATTAGACTGTCAACCTACTCTGTGCGTTTATGCTAGTTCATCAAGAAAATAAGCCCACAAGGAAAAAATCCCTTTCTCTATCAAAACGAATGTCTTGTTTGACAGACGCTTTCTCCAGTGTCAGCTGAACAAACTCACTGAATCGCTACCTCGAAAAAAATGCTCCAGGGTGGGCGAAAGACGTATGGTGCGCAAAAGTGACTTTCGCTCTTTTT